CCGCCATGACCAACCGATGAATACAAGAGTGCCGATAAGAAAAATAAAACCGCTAAAACAATCGATTGCATTATATTTTAACCATGCTTGTTAAAAATTTTTAGCCATTATTCGATAGCCACAAACTCTCACTACTATCTCCATAAAACTCTTGCTTCCACACAGGAATGTCGGCTTTAATCGCATCAAGTAACCAACGACACGCATCAAATGCAGGATAACGGTGATGAGCCGTCACCCCAATCCACACTGCCATGTCACCAATAGCCAAGTCACCAATACGATGAATCGCCACGGCGTCTTCGATGTCAAATTGGGTTTTGGCCTGTTCGATGAGTTTTTTGCCTTGATTGATAGCGAGTTTTTCATAACCGTAATAAGTCAGCTTGGTGACGGGTCGAGCGTTGTTATGATTGCGTACCCAACCTTCGAAAGTTGCTAATGCCCCACAGTTGCCATTGAGCAAAGCTTGTTTCAGCCGTCTGTCATCTATTGGCTTATCAAGTAACGCAAAGCCTTGATTAATAGCAGTTTGGTAGGCTTCGTCTTCGTTTAGAAGAATTTTGGATGAGCCTTGGTGTAATGAAGTCATGCTAACCCCCAGCCACAGGCGGAATAAAGGCGACCACATCACCGTCTTGAATGGGTGCGTTCCAATTGGTGATTTCGTGATTGATTGCAACCGCAATCTTTTGTTGGGGTAATTTAAACTGATATTTATCGGTCAAAAATTGGTACAACTCGGTCAAGCTGTCACCGTCAAAGGTTATGCGATCTTCGTCTTTGCCTGCACTTTCGGCAAGACTAGCAAAGTATAAAATCTCTAAATGTTTAGTTGTTGACATAATCAGACTTGCCCCCTGTTTTGTTTAACAATTTGATATCACTGATAATAATGTCGTGCGATAAGGCTTTGGTCATGTCATAAATGGTTAGGCAAGCGACTGACACGGCGGTCAAGGCTTCCATTTCGACCCCTGTTTTGTGGGTGACTTTGGCAGTGGCGGTGACGTTAATGGCAAAATTGTCGTCCTCATAGTCAAAGCTGATTTTGACACCGTCTAGCGGTAGTTGGTGGCAAAGTGGAATGAGTTCATGGGTGCGTTTGCTTGCCATGACCCCTGCGATATGGGCAGTTTGGGTGATTGAGCCTTTTTTGGTCATACCGTCTGCGGTTTTGATGGCGTGGTAGATGTCGGTTGGGAAAATCACTTTACCTGTGGCGGTGGCGGTGCGATGGGTAGGGGGTTTGGCGGATACATCGACCATTGAGATATCGCCGTTTGCATCTAAATGGGTTAAATTGTTTGTCATTTTTTAATTCTCTAATTTTTGTAAAGA